CCTCTGTCTTGACGGACAAGGTCAGCTAAGAGATGCAATATGGTACAAAGGTGGACAGCCCTTAGTGGGGAAAGAACAGGTTAGGAACTATTTTTAAAAGCCCAGACTTAATAGATCCGAGGGTACTAAGGGAGTTGGCAAATGTCATTGAGGAGCCTTTGGCCATTATCTTTGAAAAGTCGTGGAGATCGGGAGAGATCCCAGATGACTGGAAAAAGGCAAATGTAGTGCCCGTCTTTAAGAAAGGGAAGGATGATGATCCAGGGAACTATAGGCCGGTCAGTCTTACCTCAATCCCTGGAAAAATCATGGAGGGGATCCTCAAGGAATCCATTTTGAAGCTCTTGGAATAGGGGAAGGTGATCAGGAATAGTCAGCATGGATTCATGAAGGGCAAGTCGTGCCTGACCAATCTGATTAGCTTCTATGATGAGGTAACTGGCTCTGTGGATATGGGGAAGTCAGTGGATGTGATATACCTTGACTTTAGCAATATTCTCCCACAATATTCTTGCCAGCAAGTTAAGGGAATGTGGATTGGATAAATGGACGGTAAGATGGATAGAAAGCTGGCTGGGAGGTCGGGCCCAGCGGGTAGTGATCAACGGCTCGATGTCAGGATGGGGGGGGGGTTTTCCCGCAAGTTAAGGGAATGTGGATTGGATAAATGGACGGTAAGATGGATAGAAAGCTGGCTGGGAGGTCGGGCCCAGCGGGTAGTGATCAACGGCTCGATGTCAGGATGGCGGTCGGTTTCTCGCGGAGTGCCCCATGGTTCGGTTCTGGGACTGGTTTTGTTCAACATCTTTATTAATGACCTGGATGAGGGGAAGGATTGCACCCTCAGCACGTTTGCAGATGACACTAAGCTAGGGGGAGAGGTAGGTATGGTGGAGGGCAGGGATAGAGTCCAGAGTGACTTAGACAAATTGGAGGATTGGGCCACAAGAAATCTGATGAGGTTCAACAAGGACAAGTGTAGAGTCCTGCACTTGGGACGGAAGAATCCCAAGCATTGTTACAGGCTGGGGACCAACTGGCTAAGTAGCAGTTCTGTAGAAAAGAACTTTGGGATTACAGTGGATGAGAAGCTGGACATGAGTCAACAGTGTGCCCTTGTAGCCAAGAAGGAGCATTGCCATAGAGGCTCGAGTTCCAAAGAATCCGGACATCATGTGCCCTACCCGACCATCCGAGAAAAATGTCCGTGAACTGTCGATGATGGTTGACCAGGGCCTGCAGCACCATGGAGAAGTAACCCTTCCTATTAATATACTGGGCCACTTGATGCTCAGGTGTGCAGATCAGCAGGGTTCGTCAAACAATGTAATCTACCCGTGGTTACACCCCGGAAGAGCCGGCGCAGCACACAGAACCACGTGGCTGGTGAGCTTGACAATGCTAGTGGCATCTGCACGTCCCCAATCACAAAGTCCTGGTGGGGGAAGAATGTGCCCACCTCCAGCTTGCCACAGAGGCTCGAGTTCCAAAAAATCCAGGCATCGTGCGCCCTACCCGACCACCCGACAAAAATGTCCGTGAACTGTCCACGATGGTTGACCAGGGCCTGCAGCACCATGGAGAAGTAACCCTTCCTATTAATATACTGGGCCGCTTGATGCTCAGGTTTGCGGATCGGTATGTGGGTCCCATCCAAGGCTCCAGCGCAATTCAGGAACCCTAGGGCAGCAGCTCTGGCCACAGTCAAGTCCAGGTCTCCCAGGCGGATGACCCTCCGCAGCAGGATCAAGTTGATGGCCCTCACAACTTGAAGAAGGAGACAAACAAAGACACAAAACAGAATGAGAGAGGGAGTGCCTGAGCCCTTGGGAGGTGGGAGGTGCCCACCCCCCTCTCCTCTCCTCTCCTCTCCTCTCCTCTCCTCTCCTCCTCCAAATATGCCAGGAGCCATCCCCTATGAGGCCACCCACCCAGGAGCAGGGCTGTGTGAGGGCGGGATGGCACAACCCCCCGGGGACAGGGCTT